ATGATGAAATTTGAAAGCTTCTTCCAGGCATTAAGCTGCAGATACAGTGTCTGGGTCCGATTTATAGCTGCATTTGTCAGCTTTTCAGAACTGCAAAGTTCTATGCAACCAGAGATAAGATACTTAAGTTATGTGAAAAATAGAAGCACTACCTCTGAAAAAAAAAACATTAAAACCATACCAGATTTTAAAAAATTCTTTAAAAAAAACTAAACCATAAAAAAAACCATAATTCGTTAAAAATTTTTAAACCCCGAAATCTATAAGAAAAAGTCATTTAGGGCCACAGCCTAATTGTCGTGTTGACTAGTGTAATGGCCACTAAAAATGCATATCCTTAAATTTGTCATATTTCACCGAATTGTAAAGAACTTTGCTATTTTGAGAAGATAATTAAAACACCTAGAAGTTAAGCCCAAACACTTTGTGATTACAGCTTACCGTCTGGGAAATATAAAGCATTGAAATGCAAAAATGATGATTTTTGTGCGGTATTTTTTTACGACATTTTGACTTTAAAAACTCAGGAAAAGTCGAAAAAAAAATTATATCCTGTGTCCTCTATTTTTTTGTGTATAGGTGCATTAACTTTACAACCAGACGTAAGATACTAGAGTTATGTGAAAAAAACAAGCGCTACCTCTGAAAAAAGTTTAAAAAAAAATAACAGTTTTCAAAAATTCTTCAAAAAAAAGTTCTGCCATAAAAAAAAAAATATATTATCAAACCATTTCTAAGCCCCAAATCTTTAAGAAAAAGTTCGTTTTGTTCCTTGAGGAAAAATCGTGTTGACTAGTGTTATTGGTTACATATGTTGATTTTGCACAGGCAACTTTTGCCTGTTTGCGTAGCCACAGTTTCCAAATGCCTCAATCCTATAAGTGAGTACAGGTACTAGGTATGCTTTTGCTATCTGCATCCGGATGCTTACTGGTATAAATTGCTTGGTAATATTTCCCTTTCAAAATTGTGGCTTCGATGACGTTGTTCATTAATTTCTTCACCGCAAGTCGGGTGCCATTCCAAAGACGTGGCTGGTTTATATTCCGTAACATAATAGTTACCGATCCGATCTTTAGGTGCAGATTATGAGGTGGCAGTCCAGGCAATTCCATCGAATTTAAGAACTCCGTTGGATAGTTGACAACATCATCTTGGTTAGTAACGGAATCAATCGATTTGTATGTTATTAATTCGCCAGCTATATTATTTTGAATCTGGAAATTCATTTCGTTGACGTCAACGTTTTTGCAGCCAATATAACTCTTTCGCTCAACCATACATTTTAAAATTTCGAGCAATGTTTAGGAAAACCTTCTCGATGAGTTTTGTCTTTGTTTCAGTAAAGTTACAAACATTGGTAGGAAATGTGATGTATCCAGACAATAATATAGTTCGATTTATCCGCTAGCTGCCGCGGTATTAGTTGTTAGCCACAATATACAGGCAAGTTGGTTAAGTTTTGTCTAATTTTGGAAGGCCCAATTTAATACGCACAAAAAAAAAAAACTAACATATGAAAAAATCTGTTTTTATATAAAATTTCTATATACCCCGGCCTTTCTTTTCCATATTTTACATTCACCTCGACAGTCAAGAGAGAGATTCCTGCTTTTCGCATACCAACTCGTAATTAACCGAACATCTAACTTTGATGGGCTGAAAAAATTAAGATTTTGTTTCTAAGAAGTTTTCGAACTTGTGCCAAAATATCGGCTGTCTGGCCGAATGTGATTACAGTGGATAACATTTTAAAGCTTGTAATATTACCTTTTCATAGAGGTACATATATTAGGGTTTTTTTCAAATTAATAGTAAAAACATATATGTATAAACAAAACAAAAAAAACCAAAAATTTGGATTACTTTGATATCACTACTCGACAAAATTGAACTTTTTCTTCCTGCTCTGAACCAAAATTTTTTTTTTTTTAATAGATTTCGGGATTTACAAATTTTTATAATACTATGTTTTTATACCCGTACTCAAAAAGAGTTAAGGGGTATATTGTATTTGTGGTAAAAGTAGATGTCTGTTTATCCGTCCGTTTGTCTGTCTGTCTTGATGAGCGCCTAGATCTCAGAGACTATAAGAGCTAGAGCAATTAGTTTTCCAGACTCATGTGATATCACACTGCTACAAGTGTTCCGCCGCAAATAACGAAAATCTGTGGCAAGCCCAATTTTAAAGATACGATAAAACTAAAGACCAGATTGCCGAATCTCAATCAGATCTTATAATTATAGCCAGAATGAAGAAATTAATTTTCAGTTGCTTCCCCCGCTTCCTACAGGTAGAGACCCGCTCTTCTTTCTCTTTCTCGCTCGCACACTCGTTATGTACGTGAGCGCCCGCTGGCGGAGAAGATGTAGAATATATATGATACATGTAGAATATACATGTTAGATGTAGAATATACATTGTAGATGTAGCAAAAAAATGTAAAATGTAAAGTATTTTATATCTGGTTGCATAGAACTTCTGAACGTACCGCAACCGCAACGCAACATATCGTACGGTATTTTTCAGGTAAAATGAGTTTTGAGTCGTTTTGGTCAAACGGCTACAACTTGGCCGTTTATCCATCGATTCTTACAAACGATTCCTTAAACGACGCCTAATTAGTGCGTCTGTCTAAAAATCAAAATGCATGCCAAGAATTATGTTTTTTTTTCGGCTTTTTCTGAGTTTTTAAGTCTAAATTTCGGAAAAAAACCGCAAATCATGAAATTTGAATTTGAAAGCTTAATATCTTCCAGGCGTTAAGCTGCAGCTACAAATTGTCTGGGTTGGATTTATAGCTGCATTTGTCAGCTTTTCAAAAGTGCAATGTTCTATGCAACCGGATATAAGATACTTAAGTTATGTGAAAATAGAAGCACTAACTCTAAAAAAAAATCCATGATCTTTTATATAAAATTGATTTTTTCTGTTGGGCTTAGCCTTACGCCAAGTGATAGGTGTTCAAACTAGAATAATAAGGGTGTACGAATAATATGTGTGCTTACTGTATAATTCAAAAATGTGAAAACAAGAACTGCTGCTTTGCTGATGATGCCAAGTTAAAATTAGTAAAGTTCGCAGTCAACAAATACCGGCTTTTAATTTAAAAAATATGTTGGGTCTATATTGCGAAATCCAAGGAAGTTATCTCATCCGGACCTACAGCATTATTTTTGTCTCCTGCAAATTCAACTCAAAAGTTTTTATTTTGTTATCGGAAAAGTTTGAAACTAGACATAAAACCATTTAAGTTGTATACAACTGTACCATATTGGGTTTTGTAGTTATACAGCCTCAAATAAAATGGATGCTCTAGGTGCTGTAAGCTGTGAGACTTTGTACATACATATATACATATAAATATGTATTCGAATTGCTTTTATAGCGTGTAAGTCGGGCCAATCTCGATCCACTTTTGCGCTTAGGGCCCAACATAGACGAAACTGACTTTGAGCAATGGTGGTGCTTTCTGCTGAGTGAGCCTGATTTGTTCCGACAAGCTAATATGCTAATTTGCTCATAAGACATTAATGCATTCACGAATACAATGTAAAATACAACTCATTAAGCATTTAATACTTACATTTTTTTTATACGGTATGATCATTGATATTGAATACAGTCACAGATACAAAGCATACACATACAGTACACAAACAGTGTGGAAAATATAAAAAACACTACTGGCACACCACACGATACATGACCACGTGTCTACATCAAAAACTCCTCCATTACCGTCATATACATACATACAAGTGTACATAATTATAATCTCTGCGCAACGGGTCATTTCTGATACCATGCGCTCGCATTACAATAAATATTATCAACATCCTTTTTCTTGCTTCATTGCTGTCCGACAGCATGCACAATACATATTGTCATCAAAGCTTCCAAAAAACTATTAAAATCATTTTCCCGCCTTAATCGATTTCCATTGCCATTTCATCTCGTTTGTATGTACATATGTATTTATTTCTCTCTTTATTTGAAATGGTATTGATGGCATTCTTCTTTCCTTTTCTAAATTTTGGTCGTCTATTTTGATGTTGTATCATTAATGTCTGTAAAAAAGATTGCTTAGAGCGCCCTAATTTAAATTATTTTTGTTCTTTTGTTATGCATTTGCGTGTTTTTAAATAAATATTTTTATTGATTTAACAACAAAAATTAGGAAAAAAATTTTTCTACTACCACACTGGGAACTTTTGGCTTTTTTTTAGTTTAAATTTTATAGAAAATATTTTTTTACGACACATTACGCTAGAACATTACATATATGTACATACATACATAAGTACAGATATTCAAATGTTCATATTCCTACATAGTCAATCCTAATATGTAGGATTATGTATTTTAATGTATTGTTCAGTTTAACAATATATATAGTATATTTGTACTCACATATGTACATATGTATGTATGTATACTTAATACCAAAATTTTAATATTCAATATGATGTATTTTAACTACCTAAAAACATGTTATTAATCAAAAATCTCATTATACCATTTCGTTTCCTAACAAAAATCGACTACAAAATCAATATAACGATCCAACAATATCCATGAAAACAAAATTAAAAACGAACCACATCGATATCGATCCAAACCAATTGATCTTCATGAAATAAATCAATCAACGCTCCCTTATAAATACACACACGCTACAACAAACAATTTAATCGCGTGAATGTGTGTTTATGAGGACATGCTTATGCCTCATATGCTTCGTTTGTACCGTTTATCGTTCTATCAACCGAATCAATCCAAACCTAACTGCCCCAACATGACTTAACACATTGACATTGAATGATATTACATAACGAAATAAAATATTTCCGATAACTTAATATGCATATACATAAAACATGGAAACTATACAAATTAAATTTATACATACTATATAACCTGTGTGTATGCATCTATAATATAAATACAAATGAAATAAACAACTACCACATCGATACTGACGCTGACGTCGATATAGACGAAAGACTACTACAATGAAGTACGATCCGCCCTACTCGAAGAAACCGATTACCAAGAGCTATGGCGGTGCGACGACGGCACCAAACCATCATTCCGTTGAGGAGGTTTCCTTGGATGGCTCCAGCAAGTTGGTTTATGCCAATCAGACAGGTTTCAGGTGAGTGTTCGAAGTCGATCGAATGAAGATTAGCTCCCACAGAAATTATGATAATTTATCTCGATTTTCGTCATTCTCAGGGACAAAGTTGTGCATGGACGTCGCTATACAACTGGTGGCGAGGACGATCAGTCACATGCAGGTAAATAAATCTTTCTATTTATAGTTTTTTTTACTTGTACCTATACACCTATCAGTGTGACCGATAATATTCCTATTAAAAAAAATGTATTTTGTATTTCTCATCATTAAAGTTTTCCCAATAACAGCGATTTTTTTTTTATCATTTTGGTGGTAAACCTTGTATTCAAATTGTAAAAAGATAACGATAACGAAGAACTCAAAATTAAAAATCCAAGCAATAAGCTTAGTTTAACTTTAAATTTCAAGGACCTAGCCCACTAATATTTACTTATATTTAAAAATCCGCTAAAACAGGAACATCAGAATATCTACTATACATATAACAGCCAAAAAGAAACTGTGGCAACCAACCTTTTAATATTTTTCGCGTTACTATTTTTATCAAGACGTAAACTCTTAAAGCTCACGAAAGTAAAAAAATAAAATATTAAAGACGTTATTCGTATAGGCTCATTGATTTAGCTTCGTTTAAAGTACCGTTTAAAAAAAAATGCGGCCAAGATAAATAAATACATTTGTACATACATACATGTATCTAAATGCATATAGTTGAGGCTTTAGATTTCTTTTATGAATTAGGGTTTTTATTTCAGTGCAAATTTTTTTTAAATACTTAAAAATGGTGTTTTTTAAGTTGAAAATCTGGTTGTAAAGAGCTTTGCAATTTTTAAAAGCTGATAAATGCAGCTATAAAATGGATTTGAACCATGTTTTAATACATGTACTTTGTAACCTTACTAATGTATTAATAGAATCCAATGTACAAGTAGTTCATTAATTCAAATAAAAAAAGCCACAGCTACACAATTTTACAGCTACAATGGCTTTTCACTGGTCATGTCTGAGAGCTCGCCGCAGTCTATGGATAAAAGCCCATACGAAAATCAGAACTTTTCTGTCATTTCATTAACTATTTATTTATTACCATACTAGTATTTTTTTTGACAATTTGTTTGGCACGCAAACATGGAACTTATTCTTAAAAAAATTTGTTTAAGTGATTAAAATTGTTTTTTATTTTTTTTTGTTAATTTTAAGCTCTTAGCCGATGGATGTTACTGCCGAGATGGGTTTCGGAATCGTTTTGACGTGAAAACTAAGGGATTTCCAACTTTTTGTCCAACCTATTAAACGTCATAGGCTGCCTTATTTTAGCCAAATAGTTAAAGAACAACAAAATATTGAAAATGGATTTATTGTTTTTGAAAGATAAAGTTGATTTGGAAGATGCATTTTTTAAGATTTTTTTCGCAGTAGTCATAACAACTTAGAAGGTAGTGTCTTTGAAACAAGGCTTCATTACCTTTTTTCGTCTTCAAAAAACGCTGGAAACAAAAATTTCGGATATGTTTGCAGGTTATCTCACTTGTAGTACAGTGGGCGATTCTCTAAAAACTTTCGGACAAAATTTGAGTACTTACCACTCAGAGTTCCATCTTTCGACTTTTCAAGAGGTTTGTCTCCACAATTTTTTTTATATTTAACTATATATGTATTTAACACACTTTAAAAGGCAGCCCCGTAACAATGTTTCTTTAGTTTACTAGCTTGTTTCATAACTGAACTTTAAGTTTTAATAATAATAATAGTACTTTGCGACTAATGGGAAACTTTTGAATGTACTTTGCACGAGACATAAATAAGGGTGTAGGCCTAAATGGGTAGAGCACTACCTCATACTTCGCATTTGCAAGAAACAATATAAAAATTCAAAAACTGCTTTTGGTGAATTTTTCAAGCTTTTACTTACTTTTGCATTTTACTTTTTCAGCTATAAGTCATACTTCTCATTTCAAGAGGTTCTGAAATTCGCAAAAGTAAGGTTTATTTGCTCCTGAACCGTTAAGCGAGAAATTTACTGCTGTTATACACACGCGTTAGCGTGTAAGCTCATACAGAGATTTATCGATAACCAAATCGAGCTCCCACGGACAATTTCACTATTTTTTTGTTTCACTAAACAATTTTTTGAGATCTAATTTTGAACTTAGTTTAAATAAAAATTATTTATAATATGGACACAAGCTCCGTTGCACTGGTTTTGGTGTAAAATTCATGTCAATACATCCATAAGTCATCTATTTTTTTTCCTTTTGCAATTAAGACTCGTTTTGTTGTATAAAAAGCTGTTTACTTTTCATTTCGGCGAGGAATTTGTTGCCGTTTTAAAAACGGAAAAATTTTGCGTTTTACGATTACGGGCGCGCTTAACTTTCTCGGCTTCAAAAAAGATTGCTGCATATAAAAATTTAAACGTATGGCCATTACTCAACTATAATAACAATAATATTGTCTTTGATGTCATAGTATTCTGCACATAAAATCTGATATTGATTTATTTATAAATTTATGGAGTCGGAAACGTTTCCTTCTGGCTGCTGCATATGTATGTATGTAAATAAAGATGTGATTAAACACGAATTTTGCATACCCTGTACCTGTACTCCTGGAGCACATGGTACAAAACTTATTTAACGCTTCCAACAGTCGGTCACACTGATTTTCATATTTTCAAAAACATGAGTGTCGAAAAATTATCAAATGCAGTTCTAGGGAACATAAATAAGCTATGCGATATGAATCGACACGTATCTAAAAATAAAGAAATTTTCGATATATTTTGTAATTACAATTCTAATTACACTACTCGACAAAATTTAACTTTTTTTTTGCTTAAACCGACTTTTACATCTGGAGCTTACAATTTTGTGATTTAACTATGTTTTTTTTTCTACGACAAACAGAGGTAGCACTTTTTTAGCATACAACTCAAGTAACCATGTGTGTTGTAGTGAAACTGTCGCATTCTGTAAAGCTACTATAAAGTGGACCTGAATACATCGTAGCTTCAGCTTACCGTCTGGGCAATATTAAGCTTTCAAATGAAAAATGGATCATTCTTGTGCGCTATTTTTTTCAAAGTTTTGACGTTATGCGTCTTTTAAGGTATTGCCCATAAAAATCTATGGACTAACGGTTGAGCTAAAATTGGATGACCAACGCTCCGAAAATCACATTTAACCGTTTGGTCCAACATTTTGGGGCTTTTTACTCAGAATCTGCAGCACGGATATCCACAAAAAATGATAAGTTGTCAAAAAATGGTACCACTATTCGCAGATTCCTAGTGATAGAATGGATATACCTGACGATATAGCGCCTCACAATTTAAGTTTTCTACTATTTTTGGTTGGTATGGTTTTATTTTATGAAATAATCTTTTTAGGGACACCATTTCTTAACAAAATAACAAAATAATAAAATAATTCCAAAGAATGCCAACGGTAAGGTTTTTTTTACTTAGTATGTAATTCCAACATGTAAAATTAAAAAGTTTCGAAATGACAAAGTTTTATTACAACCAGATGTAAGATAAAAATCATTTAAGTAAATCATTGGGCCCGTTCACCAGGACAACTTGATCAGCGATCAGTGATGGATTTCTTCAAGTAGTGTTGGTAAACGCACATGATTTAAGCCTAGTGCTCAGATCGAAAAAAAACACCTTTCGAACAGAATCCAGGTTGATATTCGTATGAAAACGATAAGAAATTTTTTACGGAAAAACTTTTTTCTAGGCTCTGTACGGAAGGCAGTACTCAGATCAACAAAAAAAATGTCGGTATATGAACTGGAAAAGTATCCGAAGTATTTGCTTGTTTTTTTTTTTGGTATGTTTAGACCCACCTCGAAAATTATATCAGTTTGATATATTTTGCCAGCAAACACGAAGCAAACATTGCAATAAGAGTACACAAAACCAAATGAAATATTTTAATAATGAAGACAAATAGAATCTAATTAATGCAGTGTTATATGAATGACAATTATATGGATACTATAATTTATTATTTTTATTAATTTTCAGAAATATAAAACAAATATTGTTTTCAAAAGATTTTTTATTCACGGTGTCCGGCACGGGAGGCGTCGCCATCTGCTGCTGCTGATAGTCAGACACATTACCTTGCCAATAAAATATTGGGGAGCCCAGGATATGCCTGGGGAAGAGCTACCCCAGCCGAATAATTGCATTTTTTAACTTTAAACAAAACCAAGCAGCGGTCTGAGCAGTGTAACCGTTCGGAATGCAGTGCACACCTCTGGTCACACACTGGCCGCTCGAAGAATATATGACTTTTTTTTTGCTGGCAAACTGTTTTTGGATCTGAGTACTAGGCTTTAGTGTTTTTGATGCAATGGATCAGATTTTGAGAAATGGATCGTGAAAATAGTACGATCTATTGGTCTCGAGTATGATGGATTGGTTTTGGCTTATATCGATAGCTGACAATTCGAATAGAATATGAACTAAATCGCAAAGAAAAAGAAATAAACAAAACCAAATTAATATAAAATCATGAAATTGGCTTAATACTTCCGTTTTACGAAAAAATATTCAAGTTTTACGTGACTGTTTTTTGTTTCGAGTCGCGAATCTTCTAAGCCAATATCGATAGGTTCTGAGCCGATTGTATTGGCAACGTCGCGATAGTAAAGTATGGACCATACGCGTTCACCAGAATTCAAAACATGATTGATAAGATCAATCACAGATCAAGTTGTTCTGGTGAACGCCCATTGTAAAGCCCCAAATCTAACAAACAAAAGTCGGTTTGGTTCCTTGAAGAAAAATCGTGTCGGGTAGTGTTATTACTTCTCAAAGTTTTGTTTGTTGATTGCATACACGGTTGGCCAGCCAAAATAAATAAAAACTTTTTCTTTAACAAAAATCGAAAAATATCACCAAGTTTTAGTAATTTGTTAAGTTTTTGTTGGTAAAAAAACTTTGCAATGCAATAGCTAAATCGAGACTAGTTACCGGACCGCTTTAAAAGGAATTGAAAATAAATTCATGAGAGACATTTATTATGTATTTATTGACTGAGATATTAATGTACCTGTTTTAGAACTTTCTAATTTATATCGGAGCTATTTCTGTTCCCTTGAGTTACTGCTTAACACAACACATGTACATATTTACATTTACATACAAAT